AATAATTGATTTCCTTTGCATGAATTGTCTTCCCTTGCACATGTACTTAGTAGCAGAGGCGACTGCAAGTGCTGGAATCCTGCCATTTATTTTGTATTAGAGGAAGGACAAAACAGTGCAGCTTTGTTTTTGGTAGGGAAGGGGGGGGGTGGAGAATGTTGCTTTAAGAGCATAAAAGATGAGACTTCTTTTTGGATCCACCACTATTGGCAGCACTTCCCCAAGAAGAAGCTGAGAATGCAAAATCACATGCTTGTTCCTGGAGGGGAACTATTGAGCATGTTTAACCTGTTTTCACCAAGGAAATATTATAGCTAGCTATAGAAACATGAGAAACGTTTACGTGGCAATCAGTGCACATTTGGTAGAACTGCCTACTGAAAAGCAGGTACCTGACAAGGGAAAGTTTTGTCTTGAATCAAATCTGCTGTCAAATTATGGTTTATAAGAAATCATGCAGCAGCTGTTCCTGCATCCCTGTGTAGAGGAAAGATTGCAGCTGCCAGCCCTCTCCTGCTTGCACCCTCAGTTGTGTAAAGAAACCGCTTTGCAGGAAAATGTCTGATGTCTTGGGTTGTGTAGCTTGGTGTGGCAGGCATGGCTGTGATCTTTGTTTCAGCAGCTAGATACCTTTATCATGAATTGAAAGGCAATACTCTGCAGAAACTACACAAGTTGGTTGTCTGAGGATGCGTGAAGAATATTATTTGGGTCTGAGGCAATGGAAAGATTCCACATGGTAAGTGTTCTCTGTTTGCCAGTCTTGCCAGAAAACCTTAGCTCTGTCTCCTCGCCAAGAAGCTGATGGCCATCTTCACCTGCAGAACACACGGCTAGAGAGGAATGGCTGACCTACCACCAAGCTCCCCTGCATCGCTCAAAGCAACGTATTCCAAATAACTGATGATGCCTGCTGGTGGTCTGCTGAATAAAGGGGTATAGAAGCTCAGATGGTCCCTGGTGTGCCAGGAGATCATGGGAAAACATCCTGGCTTGCCCAGAAGGAAAGCTCAGGAGCCTTTACGTGCAGCTCTTGAGCTTTATCAGCTGCTCCTGGTTTTCTGGGCAAGTTCCCCTTGCAGAGAAAGAGCCCTTGTAAAATGCTGCGCTTCAGAGGTTCCTTTCCTTGTTCTTTTCCAAGGATGTGTGTGAAGGAGGGTTAGGAGAACCCTTAGAAATATAGAAAAGATGAATAAAGGATGCAGGTCACATGGCAGGAAGGGAATTGGGAGCGTGTGGCAGTAAGAAAGGAGGATAATGTGGCTTTCTGACAGTGAGAAGACTCAGCCCTTCAGCACTGCCATAAGAATGGCACGACTCAGTGGCATGGTAGGAACTTCAAGGGGAATAAGTGGGAAGGGTGGAGGCAGGAACAGATTTAACAGTTTAGGGCAAAGAGCCAGAGGAGTCTGGCAGGAAAGAAGGGAGTCCTGTGTTTTCTTGACCCTGTCTGTGATAGGAATTAAATAATCCTTAAGGGGTCAAAGACCTGTGGGGTTAGAGTCGATTTAACAGAGACCATTCCCACCACACCACTTGAACCTCCAATACAATAGCAGGGAGTAGAGGACAAATAGGGAAACAGAAACACTCCAGATTTGTGTCCTCCACATCTAGGTATGGGGTGAGAGTGGGACAGAAGTGTCATGCTAAAGCAGCCAAGAGCATTCCCTTGCATTTGTACTCAGGGCTATTCACCTTCCAGATTTTTCCTCAGGTTTCTTTCCTTTAAAAACAAAGAAGAAACTACTTGAAGAAGCCAATTAAATAACTCCTGTCTTCTAGATTTATCATGCAAAAAATCCTTCTGCTCTTTGAGCTAAGTGTATTTTACATAGCTGCTCTCTGCCTAATGCAACAGCAGAAAACAGAATAATAACAGACAAGGTATGAATGAGATGAGGCTGGGCAGGGGTTATGCCAATAAATTGCTCCAGTTCAGAATGTCTTCCCATTGTATGTAATTATTTTACTTTGAACCATATGACAACCTGGGACGAGGACCTTAGGAGAAGAGTATTTTTATTACACAGCTTGTGACTAGATCAAGAAACTTAAATTAAAACAGTATAATAAAAAGAGGGGAAAACTGTAGCAAGAGCCAAAGCTGGGCACCCTATTCTCCCATGTGCCTGGTGACAGGACAAGGGGGAATGGGCTAAAGTTGCACCAGGGGAGGTTTAGGTTTGATATTAGGAAGAACTTACTTACCAAAAGGGTTGTTAGGCATTGGAATAGGCTGCCCAGGGAAGTGGTGGAGTCACCATCCCTGAAGGTTTTTAAAGGGCATTTAGATGTAGAGCTTAGGGATATGGTTTAATGGAGGACTGGTTAGCATTAGGTCAGAGGTTGGACTAGGTGATCTTGGAGGTCTCTTCCAACCTAGATGATTCTGTGATTCCCCTGAACACCCCCAGGGATGGTGACTCCACCACTTCCCTGGGCAACCCACTCTGGTGCCTGACTACCCTTTGTCTAAGAACAGGTTGAATGGGGCTTTGGTCAAACTGGTCTAGTGGAAGGTGTCCCTGCCTGTAGCAGGGGGGTTTGAAATGGATGGTTCCTTCCAACCCAAACCGTTCTGATTCTATGAAATCAGCATCATGATTTGATGAGGTAGAAAACACCACTGCTCTGGACCACTTGCCTTCCTCTTCTGATGTGTGACTGAAAGAGCTTCCTGATGGGGATAATCCCTCGTGTACTGTCATGACTGCACTTTGTTGGCATTAAATGGTCAAGACACTACTCTGCTAGCAAGAGCTATCAGCTTTCAGGGGCAGGGACTAGCTGGAGGGCAACAGGTGACGTGATCAGGATGGGAATACGGGCAAGGCGTCAAGAACCAGCTCCAACACCTTGCCTTGGCAGGGGCATTACCTCCCCATGGCCTTGATGCTGACTCTTACTCAGACTTGTTGACGCTCGTGGAAAGTGTTATAAAAATCTCATGTGAGCTGTGCTTATATACTGCCTGCTTCCTGTGTTTCACCTCCCCTGGTTCCTATTACGTGGAGTACGTAATGAAAACCAGATATTTGCCTCCTAGAGCATTTAATATGCTTCTGTGGCTCATTCCTTAACTGAGGCAGCCCTTGTCCTTGCTGTGAAATCACAATTGGCTGCTGTGGAAATGAGCACAGTGTTGCTAACACGCTTATTTGGCTTCAGGTGGGAAGCAAGCAGCAGGTGAACCCTTGAGATAAAGATCCAGATTTTATGCAAATACACCCTGCTTTGAAAAGCCAAGGAAGAAAAGAGCAGAAAATGACCTCTACTTTGGACAGGAGGAGAGTACGTAAATTAATTTTTTATTAAAATTGCTCACGAGGCAATAGATGCTTAGAAAAAAAAAAAAAAAAGAAAGAAAAAAAAAAAGAGGTATATTTTTCCTAACACTACACTTTCCAGGCAGTCTCTGTTTGCTGGAAACAGAGTGGTTCCTCCCTCGACTCCCCTTTCTTCTTTCCATCATGTGAGTGTTTCAAGAAGTTCTGTGGCTGAAGTATTGCTGTGCTAATCACCAAACGTGGTGGTGGTGGCATTGCTCTGAAGCACAGCTGTTAGGGATGAATTACTTTATGGAAGAAAAACACTTTCAGATGGTTCTAATAAAATCTTGTTCCATAAGCAGCACTAATAATGAAGGACATGTTTTTTTTAAATGTGCTCCTCCCTCCACTCCTTGCAGTGCAATGCCCTTATGTCCTCACCACATTCTCTCTCTGTGATGCCCACCTCTCCAAAACCCCTCAGCCCCTTACCTTGTCCCCCTTGGTTTTGGTTGTGCAGAAGGTAGCAGCACATTCAGCCCTGAGGGCTGAGAACAACCAGTCCAGAGGTGCTCCTCAGCAGCCATGTGCTGGATGAGGGACAAGGTCCACCTGTCCCACCTGGTGTGGGTGAGCAAACCTTGACATAGCCCTGGAAGTTGTTCCCGCAGCAGTGTTCAGGAAGGACGATTTATGCCAGGGCTATGGTGAGGTGCATGGGGAGACCAGTGCACATGCAAGGGGCTGTTGAATGGTTTCCTGTCCAGGTGGAAAGCCCAGCAGCACTTCTCTGCAGACCCTCACACAACTTTGCATCCTGGGGTGTCTTGAACAGCAGGACCAAAAAGCTGGAGCTAAGTTTGAGTAAATAAATGAAAAACAGGACTGATGCATGTAAGCCATGACTGTGTTACTGGGCTGATGATGGGACTGTGAAGGCTCCTGTCAGGAACTGGTATTTTATTTCATTTATTTATTCATTCATTCATTCATTCATTATTTATTTATTTTTATCTTATTATTTATTTATATATTTTCATTTCCAAAGATGCAGGATGGCAAGATAGGTTGGTGCATACAAGTGAAGGTGAAATAGGAAAGTCTATTCCTTAAAATTTTGAAGGATGGGAAGGGATACTAATTGTTTCCTCCATTGACATCCCTCTGTCTTTGTAAAAGAGAAATGCTCAGAAGCCTGAGGTTAAACAGAAGTATAGGTTGGTCCCAAAGCCAGCATCTGAGGGAAAGCTTTTTGGTGGACAGCATGGAATGAGTTGCTCTTGCTGTTTTTCAGGTCTCTGTAGGAAACACAGGACTGTCTATTAGCATGGGGAATGGGATTGGGTGGGGAAAAGGCAGACATTTTTTTCTGCTGCTTCATGACACTTGGCTTCTCTTACCACATGGGTGTTTTTCTCTCCCTCATCTGATGTTTGAATCATCCTTCAGCTTTACATGACTCCAGAAAATGAGAACCAATAAGACAGGCAAGAGACATGATCCTCACCTCCCCATTGTTTGTTTCCTTGAAATAATTTTATGATGGTAATAAAATCTATCTCTTCCCATGACTGAAAAAAAAAAAACCAACAGGTAAAGCACCTGTAGGAGTAACAGGGCTTGCTGATTCAGATTCATAATTTACTGCAGGCTCTCTGAGGCCTCCAACATTTGTTTTCAATTACCTGGCATTTGTCTTGCTGGTGTGCACAATTAGCTGCTGTTGCTGTAACCAGGTATGGGGTGGGTTTGGTCTCTAGACTCCAGCATTTCACTAGGAGCCAACTTGGAGTAATGACAAAGATCATTTCAGAGAAGGTTTTTTTGTTTGTCTGTTTTGTTTGGTGGGTGAGGGTGGGTGGGTGATTGCATAGCTACATGAGACCACTCCTGATTTGAAATTAAATCTAGACTGTTTTATTCCTGTGTTATTTTGTTATTTAAAAATAAAAAAGCACAATGCACAAGGATTGTATTAAATATGATGATCCTTCCCTTTTGCCCAAAGGTGCTTTGCTACTTATAAGTCTAAAAGTCGTTGGGAGGAATTGAATTCCACATGCATCATCAAGAGTAAGAATCCAGTCATCTCTCTCTGGCTATTACTGCAGCATTATAATTGCCATATTAGTTTTATATTTAATGATTTCTACACCTGTTTCTTCCAGACAGAATAGATTCAGTGATTTGATGCATCTTTTGAATCTTTGTCTGTTCTTTTTTTATTTTTATTTTTAAACATATGAACCTAGAAGAACTTGATACCCTATTTATAATTACAACTGCCTCTACTATTTTCATTGCAAATCTTTTCAAGAAAAAACACAGATACTAGATATTTGGTTTGCTATATAGTTTTATTTGTGTATGCGCACAAAGAAACTGACAGTCCATCATTCTTGTCTTCTTGAGAACAGCTGCAGCAAAATGCTTAGTGTTGTAATAACTGTGAGAGAACCATTCTTCATCCATCCTTGGGCTGCTAGAAAGAGAGACCCTGAGGCCAGAAGGTAATTAGCTGGCTTGTTTTTGAGCTGAGATGCTTGATAAGGTATGTACCAAATCCTCCAAAATGAACTGCAAACTCATGTGCATATTATTAACAGCAAATTTGTTGCCATAGTGGTTTTCAGCTTACTTTACTAGAGTCACTATCTGAAGATAAAATAAAAAGACACTCTTTCTTTTTAAAGCCACTAGCAGCAGTGGGGGAAATGGTGGGTTTGATGCTGGTAATTAGAGCATTTTACAGGTTTCCCCACTCCTTTTTCCTTTGAGAGACCCTGGTCGACTTGTCCATGTGGATGTACCTGCCTATGCCCATTGCATTGTCCTATGGTCTGTACAAGAGAAAGCAGCCTCAACCCATAATTGCCTATAACTTGCTGTTCACACCGCTGGGTACATGAGACTTTGCCTGGGATGGAATGCTGAGCATCTCTCTTAAGGGACCACTGGTAAGCAAAGAGGGCAAGCAGTTTGCTCAGTAGCATTTGAGGGAGCGGGGAGGAGAAAGACATTCCAGTCCACTCCCCTTCCCCCCGTCAGAGGAAAATACAGTTTGTGAATCCTAAAACCTTTTTTCAAAATCTGAGAGTAAAAAGCAAACTTAAGTCTTCAAAGTGATTGTGAGTCAGTCCCCTTCAAAGCATTTCCATGGATTTCTTGAAGTTTCTTTCCAGTGTGTATTCCAAACGTTTTTGTGGGGATGATAAATTCTTCCTGTCTCACATTTAATTTTGGTCCATCAAACTGGCTCTCATTTTGGTTTTTCTTCTGGCATTAAAGGCTAATTTGCCTCCTCTAATTGAATGCAGAAACTACATCTAACATGACAGCCACTACCCACTCAATAATGGGATATTGTCTTTCCCGACTTGCACTCGCCTTAATTAAAAGCAGAGAGCTGACCTCGGCACTGAACTCTGCCCTATTCCTTGCTAATGCTTTTACACATCACTTCACGCTAAAGCTCGGCAGAGCACATGCAAGGTCCTGGCAGGCCAGCGCTGTTTTTTTGTTTGGCATTGCTGTAAGAGCCAGGCTCGCTCAGTCCGCAGGAGGTGGCTGGTGGCCGTGGCAGCACTGCCGCTGCCCCAGCTGCTCCTGGCCGGCGGGACATGGAGAGGCAGCAAGTGCCCTGGGGGGCTCCATGGCATGGGTGGGTATCAAAAAACATTGTCAATGGGTGGCTGGAGGTGAGCTCTCTGCAGAGCCGATGCAAGCATTGGGATGGGCTATGAAGGGAAGTGCTGGTGAATAGCCCTTGCTTCTTCCGAAAGAAATGCACTTTCCTTGTGCAAGTGATGGTGTGGAAAAGAAACACACAGACATCTGTCAGTAAATAGTGTGGGTATTTTTGTGATTGTTTGACAGAAAAGTGATGGATCAGTGCAATGGGACATATCCCTGAGAAGGACACCTCATCTCTAAACTAAACCAGTATTTTTCAACAGACTGTGGTTTTTACCATAATATTCAGCATTTTACTTGGTCTCCAGCTCCTGGAGAGGGAAGAATTGAAGAGCTCAGCTTTCAGCTAAAAGCCTTCACCCTCCTGCTCCTGGACAGAAAGTAACATTGGGAACTGCCTTTACCTGATAGGATAAAAAGTGGAAGGCAAATGTGGCATGCATCCTCCACAACCATTTTGAAAAACCCTGAACACCACCTGAGGTGGTTAATCTTTCAGGGTTTTTCTTGGAGAGGCTGAGGAGCCCTGAGTTACAAGTGCTTTTTGACATTGGGGTTGGCAACGCAAAAGACAAGACATGATTCCTGTTAACAGCCTTCTACAGCTTTACCAGAGGAGGTCCATCACAAGGCAACCATCACCTTTTCTCCAATGCTTAAAATAATTACAATGCCTGAAGCATTCTTGTATCCCCACTCCACAGAAAATCTTTGCTAACAGTTAAAGCTAAATAAAGACAGAGAGCAGTGCTTGCTGCATTTACCTCATACCACAACTTCTTGGCCACTTGCTTGCAAGCACAGCTGCACAGTGATACTTCTCATCAACTTTGTTTTGCTGTGTCCTTGCATGGTCCAGTTCCCTGCTGCTGGTTCCAGAGCCTTGACCCAGCAGAAGATTTTAATTTCACTACAGACATCCACACTGAACCTAGGAGGTTTCTAGAGTGTGTGGAAGATAACTTCCTGAAACAGCTAGTGAGTGAGCCAGCTAGGGACGGTGTCCCACTGAACCTTTTGCTTGTACGTAGAGAAGGACTTGTGTATGATATGAAGGTTAGAAGCCATCTCAGGCACAGCAATCACAAATTAAAAGAATTTTCAATTCTTGAAAGAGTAAGGAGGAGGTTTAGCAGAAGATCCACTCTGGACTTCCAGAGGGCAGACTTCGGTCTGTTAAGGAGAATGGCTGGTGGAGTCCCTCAGGAGGTAGTCCTGAAAGGCTGGATGCTCCTTAAGAGGGAAATCCTGAAGGCACAGGAGCAGGCTGTCCCCATGTGCTGAAAGATGAACCAGTGTGGAAGAAGACCAGCCTGGCTGAACAGAGAGCTGTGGCTGGAGCCCAGAAAGAAAAAGAGGGTTTACAACTTTTGGAAGAAGGGGCAGTACACTCAGGAGAACTACAGAGATGTCATGAGGCTGTGCAGCGTCAAAATTAGTAGGACTAATGCCTAACTTGAGCTCAATCTGGCTACTGCTGTTAAATACAATAGAAAATACTTTTATAAATACATAAACAAGAAGAGGACTAAGGAGAATCTCCATCCTTTGTTGGATGTGGGGGGAAACAGTGACGAGAGATAAGGAAAAGGCTGAGGTAATTAATGCCTTCTTTGCCTCAGTCTTTAGCTGCAAGGTGTGGTGGTTTTACCGTACTGGGCAGCTAAACCCCACAACCGCTCTCTCACTCCCCCTCCTTTAGATGAGGAGGGGGAGAAGTAAAGCAAAGAACAACTCACGGGTTGAGATAAGGATAATTTAATTAAAGGGAAATAATTATAATAATTAAATAAAGACTACCATGAAGTAAACAATTTAACTAAGGGGAAATAAAAAGGGAAAGGGGAAAGGGAGGGGAAAAAAAGGAAAATAAAAAGAAGGGAGGAAAACAAACAAACAAAATAAATTAAGGCTATATGGAAGTGCAGAGGAAATAAATTACTCTCTACTTCCCACAAATGAGCGATGATTGACCACGTCCTTGAAGCAAGGCCTCAACGCACGCAGCCAGTGTTCGAGAGGAGGACCGACGTCTTCCAAACGATAGCCCACCCCTCCCCTCTTCTTCCTGTTTCCACCTTTTATTGCTGAGTGTGACATCACATGGTATGGAATATCCCTTTGATTGGTTTAGGTCAGCTGCCCTAGTGATGTTTCTCTCCTCACCTTTTGCCCACCCCCTAGGAGGGTTAGAGAAAGGCCCAATGCTGTGCCACTGCTACTCAGCAGTAGACACAACACTGGTGTGATAACACTGCTGTTCCAGCTACAAGTACAGAGTACGGCACTGTATGGGCTGCTGCCGGGAAAGTTAACATTCCAGCCAGACCCAGTACACAAGGCCAGTTGTTCTCTGGGTAATCGGCCCTGTCAGCTGGTAGATAGGGAAAGAGAGCCGAACGGAGTCCTCATAATCCATGAGCAAATGGCCTGCTGAACCTCTTAGATGAATGCAAGTCTATGGGGCCAGATGGGATCCACCTGAGGGTACTGAGAGAGCTGGTAGGAGTGGTAAACTTTATTACTAGGTTAAAGGTTGGACTAGATGATCTTAGAGGTCTTTTCCAACCTGAGTAATTCTATGATTCAGGCACCACCAAAGATTTCCTTCAGGTCTTGCTTAACACAAAAGGTACCATGCTTGCCTACATTTCTGCCACTAGAAGTGATTAGAGAACTCTCTCTGAGCAGTGTTAAGCTGCTTGGGATGCTTCTCCTCGTTTGTCTAGACAACAGGACCAGCCTAGCAGATGTTCCTCTGGAGACACAATTTCGGGTTTGTGGGGAACACAGAGGGGGATAAAAAGCCCTACTTAAAGTAGTAGTGTTATCCACATCTACAGTAGTTAGAACAGCTATCTGGCATGCAAGAAAATGCAGGTTCAGATCCTTAGGGAAGTGCATAACACAAATTTTCCACTGCAGTGCTGTGTGTAATGAGTATTTGCAGCAGAACCACTGCAGTGGCAGACAGGAAGCTCCACTTCTGGTGTTTAACTTCCAACAACTTAGGTTCCATCTCTCTACAGCATCTTTTAGCTATGAACTCAGTTAGTTTTGCATTAGCATTCTGGATTTGCCTGGAAAGCATCTGAGCTTTCCCTTAGAGCAGAGATAAAAGTCAGGTTGGGCATGTGTCTGCCAACAGTGACCCTGGGATAGAAAGATGAGGGAAAGACTAGCCTGAAAGTCAGCATAGCGAATACAGTCAGCAAAGATGCAAGAATTTTTTTTGCAACCCATCATTTCTACTACCCCAGTCAGGAAAACACATTGTTTCTGCATCTGCACAGCAAAAAGCTCTGCTCTGACTGCAGCAGATATGCAGTGGAGCAAGTCATGGGCAAGGGAGAAAAGTTCTCTGTTGGTTAATTTGGATGGACTGCAGTAGCTCCAATCCAAGAACATCTCCTGACCCCACCCCACAACCTGCTGTGCTAGGTATCATGCAACAGCAAGAGAGTTTCTGTCTCCCTTCCAGCGTTTACACCATCCCTGGCAAGAGCATTGCAGATAACACACAAGCAAGGCTTTAATATTTTCTGCTTGCTTCTCACCCTTCACTCACACTGCAACGCCCCAGCTGTGAACTTTTCACCCTGAACTTGTTCCAGATTGTGAGCCTTTGCAGCAGACAAGTCATAGACCATAAATCCAGTTTTCAGACAATGGTATCTGTTTGTTATTCCCCTCATTGCTTTTCTGCAATTCACTTTCTGTCAACCTTCTGTCTACTGAAATGTATGTGTTGGTAGCACTCTCTTACCTGTGAGAAGGAGAAAAAGGAGACTTGGTTCTAAAATGATGGAGACCATCTGAAGTAGTGAGAAGACACAAGACTCACCAGCTGATTTTGGAGAAATACTGAACACACACAGCTCTGACAGCAATTCCTGAAAGCTGAAAGAAGTCCTACCCTCTGAGAGCCAGAAAAAAAAAAAAAAAAGTAAGTAATGGAGATGTAAGATGGTTGGTTTGGGGCAAAGGCTCCAAGCTGTTTTCTGCTATTTCTTCCTCTTACTGCCTACTCACTGGAGCAAGGGGCACTGCAGCCATGAGCCAGGGTATGGTTCATTTGTAAAACATGTGTGCACATGGGTAGCGGGATCTTCTTATCTGATACTTTAGCTGCTCCATGGAACAGGAGCCAGGACACGTCCTGTATGTTGCTGGAGCATTGGCTCACAGAGGTCACATTAGGTTGGGACAGCAGGTCCTAGGTGCTAACACAGGCTGTCCCAATAGATTGACTGAGTTTGACACAACCCAGAAGACAGCTGCAGGATAAAATAAATCCTGGAAACACCTGCAGAGGGCTAAACTTTCTCTGTGCAATATTAATGCATGATGAAATCAGAACATTTTAAAATTAGGCTACCTGATGTAACAAATAGCTTGATGCTGACTTGGTTAGACACACAGTAATAAAAGCCCCAAGTGACGGTGTTTTTCTAACAGTAAACCTCTTTCTCTTCACTGTAACACCCCAAGTTGGCACCAGAGGATCCTATGATAGAGGGAGAGGTATTTCGTGTGAGACACTAAAGTAAAATGAATGTATGCACAGCCAGTGTCCTTTACAACACCCCCTCCACTTCCACACACATCCAAAATGCGTGTATTTGTACACAACTAGCTTAGTCATCAGAGATTTAAAAAAAAAAAAGGCAAAGACTAGTTGAGCCAATAGTAGAATTTTGCTAATTAGTGCCAGCCAGCAGCAGAGGCAACAACTTGGTGCTCAGCCTTGCTGACTACTCTCACAATAAACCAAAGCCATGACTCCAGCAAGAAGGTTAGCACAGATCCCTGCCATAAAAGGAGTAGGTTGCTCTTAAAATCTAGCTGATGTGGATGACAAATGTAAGAACATCTAAATAAGAAACAGCTCACTTGGCTGATTGCCTATGCTGGCCCCTACTGCTACTGGAAAAAAAAAAATCTCTCTTAACAACCCAGAGTAAAATAAAAAACAGCTGAATATCTTTTCTTAGATGGCTAGTTTTCACATTCCCATTCAAGACAGTCTGTCTTGCTGTCGGCTCCATTCTTGGCATGAAACTGGCCCTGAGGTTCCAAATTGGGGATGAGAGGCAAGTATGGTTTTAGAGCTGCTAAACCTTCTGCTTGAAAACCACACTCACATATGCAAAATTTGCACCTTCCTAAATAGCAGTCTTATTCAAGCCAAAAAATAAAAATAAAAAACGAGCTAGCGCCCAACTAATGGCAAGCTAGTGTATGCCAGCAAACCAAGTCGAGTCTTGGTGTAATTAAAGTGGAATCACATCCAGTGCTTCAGAGCCAACATCTAGCTAATATGCCTGATTTAGTAACCAATCAAATTTATAATAAAGCAGCAGCCTCCAGTGTGAGGAAGGTACAATGCCTACAATTTTTTTTTTTCATGGAAAAAAGATGTCAGAGAAAGGAAAGGAAGGAACATTTTGAACTTCTGGTTGAGTGCTTGCCTCTATCCCCAAATCACCCTCCTTTTGGGGACATTTGAAGTGATAAAAAAGGCGGGATATCCTTAAAAACTAAGGGAGTCTTAGATTTACAGTCTAGAGATATATGAAGTATTTCCCCAATCCTCTGAAGAAGAGAAACAAAGCTCCCTCACTTCTGTCTTCCCCATCTTGTTTTGCACGTGTGTCCAAACAGCAACAGGTTGCTACACATCAGTTGAAATTTTAAGGTTTATTAGAAAAACACTTGATTTTTTATAGCATTGCATATTTTGTACATCCAATTAAACTGCTGTTTATGACTTTCATTCAAAGTCATGATTTGTTACTAAGTTCTTTGTACAATTAACAGTTAACATGCTTGTACACACAGAATGAGTACCTGTACTAGAATGGTGTCTTACTGAGAGGTAGAGAGCCCTTTCAGGAAACATTAACTGTTTGTACCAGAAAATTATAGGAGCAATGCTATGATTTTAGAGCTTCAGCAGATGTTCCCAGTTCCTTCTCTATCCACTGGGGATTTGCAGGGGATGGAAATCCAAAAGTCTTCACTTAATAGGCCTCAAATCAAGCCTCCACATTATGAATAGTTTCACTGCAACACATCTTTATTGTAAATGATACACTGTTATTTCTTCCTCTGTCACACCTACAGCTTTAAAACCTCTAATCAGATCATTTGTTTTCAATTTTGATCTGGGGCAGGTCTTTGAGAAGCCGGGTATGTGGGCTGCTGACAGAAGCCAGCTCAGCAAGTGGGGCACAAGCACATTGGGGAGCAAACTCCAAACTTATTACTGGGACTTTAAACTAGATTTGATGGGGGAAGGGAGGGGAGTTAGAAATGACAGAGAAGGGCTGGGGGACTGCCTGACACTGACAAAGATAGTAGGGAAAAACCTCTGAGTTGTCCCATAGGATTGTCCGAGGGCTCTTCAGAGAAGGTAATGACCCGGATACCCTGTCTGGAATCTCTTTCTTGCATCCCTCTAGGGCTAACTGTGCCTGCTGCTTCCCTTAAGTGCCTGTATACCAATGCACAGAGCATGGGAAATAAACAGATGAGCTCGAGATCTGTGTTTGGTCACGGGGCCACGATCTCGTTG